GACTGTAGTCTTTTTTTTCCCCCAAAACTTTGTCTTCAAAATAAGGGTTCGTCTTATATTCCGAAAAATACGGTATTTTAAGCATTAGGCCTAATACATAAATGCAAGGTAAGGCTTAGCTGAAACACTACTAGGTAAATTTTATTTTGCTTTTGGCTACAACTTCTGAAATAAACTATTTTGCTGTTATATCACCAAAATTATCAAAAAATAGTATATATAAAAAAACAAACCTTTTTAACAAATCAAGAGGAATATTGAGCATTACTAAAAAAAGGAGCATGAAAGAGTTCTTGACAGAGTGACAAAGGGAATAAGCCTTTTATAGTTAGTGATTAACAACCAATCTTGAATTAGAAACAAAAGAATAAGTTTATCAAGAAATAAGCTTTGGAGCATGACCAAAAGAACAAGTTTAATAAAGTAATTTATCAAGAAATAATCTTTGGAGCATGACCAAAAGAACAAGTTCAAGATCTTGCTGAAGTACGTTTACTTGGAAATACTCTTTCAACTAAGAGGATAAGAATAAATTCAATACTGTGGCAGATCTTGGTCTACAAGCAAACATTTCTTAAACCATGTTGAATTTCTAGAAAACTGTGCTGCAGTAGTACAAGAAACAAAACTGCAGTAACTGTTATGTAGTAATGCAGATCATTATTTAAAAAAAAATTTAAAGCTTTGGAATAAATCTGATTTTAAGAATGATATGAAGGAAAATTGTACAGGAACAGTAAGAATATTCTGAATTAGAATACTTTAACAAATATGCAGCTTGAGAAATCTATGTTGGCTCTTGTAATGTCAATGAAAGCCCACCTTTTTGTACACATGTATATACTCATTATAAAAAAAGCATGCAACAAAAGTGTTTTCTAGTAATTCATATCAACAATGACAGGAGTAATTGAAGTCAAACATGTGCACACATATATATATCTATATCACCCATCACTTCATAAAAATGCATTTTTAACTGCCTAAACATGATGATAATGACTCATATGAGTGTAAGCTCTACAAATATTAGCCTAATAAAAAACTGTGGTGTCTCAAATCACAACTATGGCAAAATTTATCTTGAACACTTGTACGTAATCTTGTAACTTACCATGTCATCAGGACCTTCACAAGAATGACGAAAAGGTGTACTCTGTGAAAATCAATAATTTTTTTTAATTATCATCTTACAAAGAGTGTATAACACATGTTAGCATTTTAAATCCCTCATATATCATCAAGGAGAAAAAACTTGATATACACAAAGAATGAAAATTAAATTTGCAGTTACCACCAACATTATAAAAAGCTAACTCAAGCAAAAGATATACGACACATGCTATATGTACAATATAACTTTTTCACGTTATAAAACATTTTCTACAACTGAAAAAAAAGTCAGAAAAACAATCTTCACTAACTTAAATAATTTGTTATTTAATATTTAATACTTGGTGTGAATTATAAATGAAAATAAAATATTCAAATTATCTAACTTAATAACTTTTAATAGTTTGACATCTCTTTTCATAATATCTAACACAAAATCGACATGTTGTATACAAAACTTTTAAAGCCAATTGCAAGTTCTTAATCATAAAACATAGGGTATTTCACAATTTTATATGTTAGGAATTCAAAAAAATTAAATTTTTATTGTAAAGTTCCACAGTCTTTTTCTAACACAAATTTAGAGTACATCACATTTAAAAGCATTAATAAATCAAACACATCTGTGAGAAGCACTCTATATCTGAAGTTAACCTTTAAAATTGAAACCCTTCATTCATAGAAAACTGAAGAACTAATACCTACACTCTTTCAAAGGTTTTCAAATATGTTATGCAACATGCATATAAATAACTACACAATAAATAGACAGACAGATGTAAGTGGAGATGAAAAGTACAATAAGTGTGTAAAATTATGCCAAGAAGTAAAAGTTGATGTCTGAACATTTTTTATTTCTATCAAATAATTACAATCTTTGTGAACTTTTGGCATTGTGGATTTTACAAAAAAACAACACATGTTTGTAGAAATACTAAAAAGTTTCTTTGTTGGTTGACACAAAATATATATACTGTACAATAACACGACATTTCTGAAAAAAACATTACACACAAACAGCCTACATACTGAATAATGTTTTCTGTATTATAATCTATCTCTGTTTTTTTTTAACTTAAGAAGTGTAATTACATTGTCCTATACAGTCTTAAACAATATGTAAGAGTGACTATCATATTCAAATAATAAAGTTTTACTGCTTTCAACACAAATTTTTTTTATTGTGTATGTTTTCACCATAGGCCTAAAAGTTTTTGTTAATGAGTATCTTGTGCTTGAAATGAGACTAAGGCCAAAATATTGCAAGTACACATACTTTATGTGTTGACATCAGTAAAATTGCTTCATTTATTCTTCTGTTTTGTTATTTAATATTACATGGTACTAAGTATGTTTGGTAGAAAAACAACAAAACAATTGTAATCTTACTTCTGGTACCAACTGGGTTAGAAACATCTCAACATCTTGCCTGTGACAAAGAAACAAAAAATACTTTCACTACTTGAAAAAGTCATAACAACAAAACAATTGTAATCTTACTTCTGGTACCAACTGGGTTAGAAACATCTCAACATCTTGCCTGTGACAAAGAAAAAAAAATACTTTCACTACTGGAAAAAGTCATAACAACAAAACAAAATTCTTTCAAAACACAAAATGTACTTTACTATTTAATAACTAATATTTCAAAAGTATAATTACAGTAGCTCATATCATTCCAAACAGAAATGAAAAGACAGTGCTCTTAATGTATTTTTCTTACAAATTGGCATTAAATTTTACATAATATACCAGATGTTTAAAATAATGCATGTAATTCATTACAGGTTACAAAACATAAATCAAAATGAAGGACATTAATTTCAAGTCCAAACATATAGAAGAACTTTAGTCATTAATGTATGTAACACTTTTTCACTACGAACTCCATTCAAAACAGATATTAAATAATACGTCTCTAATTAAGATTTTAAGTTCTTAAATGATGCTTCACTCAGAAAACTCTATTTTCATAGCACATAAGAAAACAGAACAGCACTTAGTAAATATAAAACTAACAAACATCTACTAATACTTAATATCTTTATTTAAGAATTTTTAGCCATGGGGGCATTATAATGTGACGGTCAATCCCACCAATCGTTGGTAAAAGAGTAGCCCAAGAGTTGGCAGTGGGTGGTGATGACTAGCTGCCTTCCCTCTAGTCTTACACTGCTAAATTAGGGACGGCTAGCGCAGATAGCCCTCGTGTAGCTTTGCACGAAATTCAAAAAAAAAAGGGTTAAGGCTTCTAACCTATTGCCCTTAAACTAGTGATATTTACTTACAGTAAATACATTTATCGGCCAATTGAACTATATGTATATTTTTAAAATGTAAATAACACAGCTAGTGTCAAGCATGATTATCAAACGAGGTTGAAATTTTGGTCTTTAGTTGGAACATCTTACAATATCATATATAATTTTCTTACATGTAATTCATATGATGACTTTAAAGACAGGTTTAATATCATGACACTTCATACAGGAAAGAAACCTTTGAGTACAGATGGGGGCGAGCATGTTTGGTGTGATGGGGATTCGAACCCGCGACCCTCAGATTGCGAGTCGAGAGCTCTAACCACCTGGCCATGCCGGGCCCAGCCTCAATGCACTAATAAAGTTATTATTCACAATTTGAGTTTCACATTCTAATTTTATACATTAATTTTTTTAAACTAACATATCTGTAATTATTCAGCCAACATGATCTACAAAACAATGCCACACAATACTAGAAAATGTTTTACATATATTCTACTTAAATATTGTAAGCATTATTTTAATATTTAAAGCAGACAATTATATAATTAAAAAAATTAAACACTTGTTCTTGAACCTATCTACAAAAAAATTTTTAATTCTTCCCTGCCGAAGACTGAGAGCTGAAAATGTTTCCTTTTTTTAATGTTTTTTTGTTATTATGTATTCATTTTTAACATATACCTATATCTCACCTTTTTAGGGTTAATTCTTGCCATTGTGTCAAATTAAGCTTTCCAAACAAAACTATATAATTCTTAAATACCTTTTATGTATGAATCATTCACACACATAAATCATTTTCATTTCATAGTGTCTAATATTTTTTTTTCTTTTATTTTATGGCTTTTCCTTTTTTTATGATGAAAATGGCTCTTAATTACTGCAAATCAAATGAGGTTCATCTATTGTTACTCTGTAGAACTGTAATCAATATACTATGAACTTAATGTATTTCTGGAAAAGATCAACCAGTAAGTGTCTGATTCAATTCCTGGAAAATGCATTACAATTCAGAACGTAACTAAATAAGTTAATACTGAGGAAAACATTCAAGTTTGAATAAAACAAACTAATTGAACAACACAATGTAATAAAAATTATTAATGTTATAGATTAGTGTAACTGCTTACCGAACATCTGGATCCCAGTTCTGCAATAAAACAATAATATTTTATTACCAACGTTTTGGATTATGAAATTAAAGAGAACTGTCAATAACAGGCTTTGAAAAGAAACTTGTTTATAAGGAAATTACCAGCATGATATATAATTTCTCCAGGGTAAATACTTGCTCTAAACAACCTTAACAAAATCCATGTTAGGCCATGAACAGTCAAATTTAGTCAAGCATTTCAGTTATGTACAAAGTTAACTATGTGAGATAAGGAATATAGTTGCAATTTGGTTTTGTCAAAGGGTATCTTCCATTACAGTACAAGTATTTTACATCCACTGTAATAAACTACTCATAAATATATATTCATTCATAACAGGTCTGCAACTTTTTAGTTTCGTCAAAAAGTCTTTGAAGCACAGTAAGTTAACATTTTGCTATATTGAAAATGTATTTCCAATAATACTTACCTCCGCTCACACTACAGTTATTATTGAACTGCTACGATTTCTTCTCCTTTCACCTTCTAAGCATTGGTCTGCTTTTTTCTCACTTGCTCCAGTCTTCTATTCCTCACTTAATTGCTCTTGCTGATATCTGTCTCCTGACACTCCCCACCAATGTCAATGCACCCTTTATTTTGGTACTTTACATAAGCACCTCTTTCAGATAATATTGTCACTTTTTCTAGACTGACCCATTCCGCAGTCTCTAACGCTAGCTCTTAGTGGGGAGGAAGGGCGGAAGAGTGTGAAAGGAGGTAAGTATTATTGGAAATACATTTTCGATTTAAGAAATTGTTAACTTCCTAAACATACTTACCTCCTCTCACACAACAGCTAGAATTCCACATTGATAAGGTGGCAGGGCTGATGAGAGCATTATCCATACAGAATGTGCCTGCATAAATTGTGGTCATGCTAATAGAAAATTAGCACCCTAGTGGGGGAACCACACTACATCCAGAACAGGTATGCTCTTCACCTGGATCCTAAATCATGCACTGCGAGTAGAAGTTGACATGATCCATCATCACCATTGGCCAGGCCCCAACCAGGTAGCCGAGGTTCCACTGCTTGGGGTTGGAATTATAGGACCATGGCCCCTAAATCACAAGTTGATGGCTTCAGCATTTGGACCACAAGAGATATATTTGTGAGTGGATCCCAACCTGTTGCTGTAGAGTGATGCCTTCTGAGCCACCGGAATCATGATGAGAAGGTGAGCAACACCAAAGTGGACAAACCCTCTCCTCAGCATGAAGAAGTCCAAAAGGCAACACCCAAAACTCAGAATGACGGGATCCTGTATGCCATACTCAACCTGAGGAAACAGAACTCATCTGGTCTGGAATTATGAACACTTGTCCTCACTCCTCAACTCTGTGGGCAAGGAAAAGTCCACTTGCCCCCAGAATTATAGCAAAGACATGAAACAACAGATGCTCAAACACAGACCCAGGATGGAACCACTCTGCACTCAGAATTATGATGAGACAATGGACCTTCTTCCATGAACAATTGTACTGAACCAATATTGATCAAAAAAGAAGGGCCACACTCAACCCAACTGGATAGTTGAGCATCAAATCTGAGCCGGTATTACAAATAGGCTTCTACATAGGCTGGTGCAGTTCCTACCAACATTTGAGAAAAAGACATCCAGGGTACTGGATGAAGGCCCCTAACTTCACCCTCTTCTCAAAGAGTGGAAGAAAGTCATTCAAACACCTTGGAGGAATAACCTCTGTCCAGCACCCCAGTGACTGGAAACTGGCAGCAGTAAGGATTCCCTAGCTCCACTTGTAGAAAATAGGGGGGGGGGGGTAATGTGCATTGGATAGTCCTGAGGAACAATACTCTGGAAACAGTGCAATAGGTGAACCAAATTGCCTACATTTTTAAAAGCAAATCAACTCTGAATTATTCAGTCCATTGATCATCATGATGGGCAGGATCCCCTAATACTTTACTCTTGATAGTCCATGAGTGGCAGTTCAACATAGTACCATAATACCACCCAGTCTGCCTCTAAGTGGTCTTACGGAACACCTAATTTCTACAGAGCCTGTTGTAACCTAGATAATGAATATTGTTAGTAGTTGCTAGTGCAGATCTGTTTTGATAAAAGCACACCTGACTGGTCAACACTTGAACTGTCAACACTATGAAAAAGAGGTAAGGGACCCTGGAAAGAAAATAAGAGACGACATTAGTGATGAAAATACTCATCCCTCTGTATATTCTAGTGGATAGCTACAGGGGGTGGTCAAAAACCCTCAGAGGAAGATATGGTCAGATCATGCAAATAATGTGATATTAAAGTATTGGGGAGGTTCACATAACAACCCACACAATGTCCTCCAGCAGGCAATTCAACCAGGCCACTAAGGACAGAGAAATTTGAAGAATCTGAAAAAATGTGACTCACAGAAGTCTCCTCACCTCCAAAGAGAGCCCAGAATAAGCAATATTGATCAATTTTCATACCCACCCAGTCAAGATAACTGGGGATACATTCCAGGAAACTGAAGGGTCACAATGAATAAAAAAGCCATTGTCTAGCATCTCAAAGCTTTAGTGCATGCAATATAACATTTCAAGGTCCTCACTTAACATAACACTTGATCAGGATCCAATTGGTCATAGAGATGAAAAATAGCAGTAAGATGAATCAGTGAAAATAATTTATCCCATTCTCTGGCTGCCAGTGTCTTAGGTAAGATGGACTTGTCTGGGTATAGATGGATGTAGGTAGAATGACAAAGCATCCTGTGCATGTGCAATGCACACAACTCTGACCGGTAACATCTGCAGGCCAGCAGCAACACAAAATAAACCTTAATGGAAAGGTGATATATGATAAATGAAGTTAAGGGCTCAAACAGATGTCAAGAAAGAGCATGTAATGCCACCTTTATATCCCAGTTAGGTAACTGAAATGGTCTTTTGGGACAAAGGACCTCAAGCAACTTGAATAGACCAGAGAGCACTAGGGACTCAAAGAATTTCTGTCTCTAAGTATCACAAGGTAGCTGAAAAGGCTGCCTTATATAGAAATATTGTGGAAGATGCGGAATCCTTGTCAAAGAGACAGGTCAAAAACTGAGCTATGGTTGGCATGTCTGGACGAAATGGGTTCAACCTCCACATAATACACCGTTGTCAATATGTGTATCATTGCCATTGATAAATGTCTATCACGGGATAATGCAGAGTCTGAGACAGGCACATTGCAACCTTAGAAGTTAAACCTCAACATTGTGCAAAGGACCACATATCATCCATGCATGAAGCTTGAGCCTCGGGATGGATGAATGTAAAATGTCAGATTGTGGCTGTCTTGACAGAGACGGCCAAAGAGGAAATGAAAGAGATGAGCATTCCTGAAGGTAATACAGAAGTGGAAACCAGGATTGAGCTGGCCAATCTGGTGCTATCAACAGAATGTGACCAGGGGTTGAATGAATCATTGCAAGGGCTCTGTAAAACAGACAAATCGGTGGGTAGTCATATAGGTGCAAACCAGTCCAGTCTTGAAGGAATGCATCTATTGCCAAGGCTGAGAGTGAGGTACCAGAGACCAAAATGCTGGTAGTTGAGTGTTCCAATGAGTGGCAAACACATTGATCATCGATGTCTTGAACCAAGAACAAATCCAATGGAAAAACCCCTTGATGAAGCATCCATTCTGTCGGGAGAATCCAGTAGAGATGAGTCAATTGATCTGCCACCAAATTCATCACCCCCAGAACATAGCCATCTAGTAGGATGATATGATGGTAGTGAGCCAAATATAGAAGATCCAAGGTCGAAAACAAAGAGACCTGGACCGAATGCCCTCTGGATGGGAAATGTAGGCATGATGCACACTCCAACAATTCTATGGTGGTATATGACTTTGTCCCTCAATAATTCCAGACCTTGAGACACCACCCTTTGAACAGCAAGAAGTTCTAAAACAATATGGAGGGAAGCCATATTGTCCATCCATAGGCCCTGGAATTCCCGACCTTTGAGATATGCACCCCATCCATGAAGTGAGACATCTGTGAAAAGATGGATTTCTGAAGAAGTTTGCAGCAGAGGAATACTGATTGCAGTATTGTTCCAATCTAATCACTACTCAAGATCTAAGATGTGGATCCTGAATAAGGAAACTAGGGAATCCAGTGGATCACAGTTCATGATCCATTGATTGCACAGAGACCATTAAAGGGATCTGCAGTTCACACCTCCCAAAGGAATGAGGGAATCGAGTGATGCTCACATTCCCAAAAGATAAGAGAACCATGAGACAAGGAGATGTAAGAATCAGACTTCCTGTTCCATAGCAAGGAGCCAGATGGGAGTTGGCTGAACACAACTAAGATACATGTTGAAAAAGTGGATAACATACTGTGTTGGGGCGAGAAGAAATCTCTTGGCTCTGATACAGAGTGAGAAATGACACCGTCGTGAACTTTGGAGGGTCTAGGAATTGATTTGGACGAGAAAAATCAATGACTGGATGCCAATCTCCCATCTTCTTGGGTACATCAAACAGACAGGGATAAAACCCAGAAGAACTGGAATGACTCTCATCACTGCCCCTTAGACTAACAAATCTCTGATAGCAATGGAATGAAGTTCTGAAATCCGAGGATCTGCAGTAGGCAGAAACACAACAGGCTGGGGGAATAATGGTGGTGGAGATGTGAAGTGAATGACTAATCCTGAATCTGTGGTAAAGATTTTCCTCACATCCAGAAACTCTCAGAGCCAAGCCCCCCTACAGACCATGATTGCAATACGGTAGTCATTGCTACCACTGGTAGAATTTAGACCAAGTGGAGGAATCTCGTGGATATGGGTGAAATCTATTCTAGGTACCCATGGACCAAGGGGCTGATGTTGGGACACTCGAATAGAGGTGGAACTATGACTCCCTGTAGAAACCAAGAAAAGTCACAAAGCAACAACAACAGGGAAGAATGCAGACAGGCGACATCAACCCTCAAATCCAAAGACTCCGGAATCCCGCAAAAATCAAGGTTTGGAGAAAAGGGGCTCACATTACTCATGGAGGGTGGTAGCAGGGAGACAAACGTCCTCCAACAACTCATCTCTATCAAACAAATCCCAACAACATACCAGCTGAGAGACTAGGAAACATGCAGAAGCTGACAATCGAACCAATGTATATGCTAATAATGGTTCCAACTCATCATCAAAGTGATGTGACAATTGCAGAGATGCTTCCTAAAAAAAAAGTGTAGGGATGATAAATATCTCAGCACCTTAGTTAGGGTCATAGGAATCCAAGACAATTGTGATCCATTCAGGCTGAACACAGACTCTGTTCTAAAACCCCAGGTTTCCAGGAGCAGATCTATTCTCTGAGAGTCTAAATATGCTTCCACCTGGCAGTGGTAGGTAAAGCATGTTGTTCTGACAAATGTGGCGGACAAGGCATAGCTGTCCTTTCACATAACTGAACAGTAAATCTCCCTGCACGAACCACAATATCAGGGGATGGAGAAAGAACTAAATACTCACCCTCAGACTTTTCTACCATCAAGGAAGGCATAGACTCAAAAGCAACTGTGGAAGGATTCAAAACATCACACAATCAATGCACAAATCTAAGAAAAGGAGCCAGAGGTGGCTGATTCAAATTGGCCTCCTGAGAAGCTGACAGAGTAAAGGAAGGAGCTGAAAAAAAGCAAATCAAAATTTTCTCCCGAATGTCCAGGATCGCCCACAAGTGCAGCCTCAGAGCCCCGGTAGAAACACCAATGATCTAAATGTATCTCTCCATCTCACTACAGATAACGTCACGGACAGCCTCAACCGATTCATGAGGAATGCTAAATATCAGAGATTGGATAGGAGAGACTTGATATACCTCTGTGCCAGATAAATGAATCCAGGAATGCATGCTGTAAATTGGCTTACCAAACAATTTTTTTTTTTTAGTTTTACCAAAAACAAATAGGTAACACGAGGAACACTCAAAGTAGTTCCATTGATGGTATGATAGAGAAACCCATTAGTGAATGCTTTGTCCAGAAAAAGTGACAATATTATCTGAAGGAGGTGCTTATGTACAATACCAAGATAGAGGGTGCATAGGTGGAGACGGTCACGAGACAGGTATCACCAAAGGCTATTAAGTGGAGAATAAAAAACTAGAACAAGCAAGAAAAAATCAGACCAATGCTTAGATGGGCAAAGGCAAAGAAACCCTATCACTTGAGTAATGTCTGTAGTGTGAGTGGAGGTAAATATGTTTTGGAATTCACTATTTAAAAAATAATAGGATAAATTTCCATCTCAAGCATCTTTCTAGCAGGATAAGATGCTGTGACTTTTTTCATTACATAATAACTCAAAATTCACAAAACACTTTTTTAAGCATAGTATGTATGTGGGAAATTTAAAATATAGACTACAAATGAAATTGATACCTCACTCTGTGAATAATTATCACAACATGTAAACTGTGATACACATCATGCCAGACACTCTGTAAAACATGCATGAAGAAAATGCTTAGTGCTTGCACTGAAAGTACTGGCAGATCATAAAGCATAAACTTGAAGAATCAGAAAAGTATACAAATATGATACATGTAGTACATATAATAATTTATGCTGCTTAGAAAAAAAGAATGCTCTTTGACTTTACTGATATGTGTATCTTCTGATGCCCAGGTAGAAAAATCAAATTTTCATTCTGTAATACTTGTAAGAATGCACATTAACTGAAAAATCTTTTGTTCACTTTCTAAAAATAAAGATAACTTTTAAGATGCACATGTTACAGTGTTTACATGATATTTTTGCTGGGCTGATGTATTGTTTATAGATAACCATGAAAGTTGCACATGTATTTTAAACTGCTATTATTAAATAAAATATACTAACAATTAAGTAGTTATAAATTAAAAATAATTATGAATAAAAAACAAACTTTAATACTTTAGGCTGATTTTTTCCATCTACTTTCTATGATAATCTTAGTTCTATTTACTTCATTAATTTTTATCCTTTTAAGCCTATTATACAATGATGTACACACTTGTTTCAGTTAACCATGACTTAGTAGTGTACAGGAGTTGATTAGTGTGTTTTATATAAGCAAAAACTATATGTTCACTTACCTCATTTAGAGCAAGGCTAGCAGAAGTATGCATTACTGAAAAGTAAATGATGTACTGTGATGACATTACAAATATTGAGTATATTCAAACACTAAACAAAGACAGTTCAAAATACCTATAAAATAACTTGCATATCATTCAAATCTTTCAAGTTAGAAATTGCATTAGGATTACAAGTAAATGTAATTTCTTCATAAATACAATTTTAATAATTTCAAATAATTAAAAAAACATTTTAAGACAAACATTTAAATTACCATAAGGACAAATAAAACTATTCTTATAATAACCTAACAAGATTTATTGTGCAAAAACTGACTTAGCAAGTAAAGGGATTATAAAAACTCTTGCAGTTCAAATGGGGAAAAAAAAGAAATGAGTATATGTAGTATCAGCAGCTGTGGAGAGTAAAAATAACATGAAGAGACTTGTCAGTAAACCATAAATAAAATAAAATATGAATTTAAGCCAATAAAAATTTAATTTATAAGAAACATATCAGAAGAATGCTCTAGAATAAACATAAATGTAACAGAAATTTAAAAAAGGAAGGTGTTTGCATACTGCCCCATAAATAAGATTAAATGCCTTTGCAACTTCACTAAAGTAACCACAAGATGGTATACTATTCAAGGCTTTTAACTTATTAGATACAAAGGAAATGTAACCTTAAAATTAGATTATGAGGCTTTACTGTAACATTTCCAGTACATAGTCACAGATTATTATAATTCTAATTTTATAATAATTCCCCCAAGAATAAATAAGTGAGTAAAAACTGAATAACATCTCAAGATAATAAAAAAAAACATACGATAAAAATTATCTACCTGAATTTGTATAAATATTACACTATCTGTATCTAAGAGTAATATTATTATACACATAATGCATGGAGGTCAACAGCAAACACTGTGTTTAGTTTGTAAAAGTATCGTTCCATAATATATTACCTGTGTATACAATTAGTATGGTAATCTGTTATAGGCTGATTAACAACCACTTCATGTTACATCATATCAAAAGCTAGTAAGTTTTAAGCTGTCAATTGTCACTGACAAGGACTATTAAGAATTTTTATTAATAATGCATAATCTGTTGGTACATACTAATTTTATTACTTGAGTAAAATGGATATTTTTGGTATTACATGGCATATATATATATATGCCATGTAATACCAAAAATATCCATCAAATTAGCCAATCCGTTTATGAGAAAATATCTAAAAGTCATTGAATACGGTACTGTTTTGATTGTCTGTTATTCCTATTCAAAGTAGTGAACTTACTCTTGTAAATGCTCAATGATACTGCTGAAATGCATAGGAATAAAATGTATGAAACACATCATGCACTGTAAAAATATTTACAAAAATTAGTACTTTTTCATTAAAACACACAAATGCTTCTAATAAAAAATTAAATTTATAATATAAATCTTCAAGTTGATTTAAAATTTACTATATAATATACTGAGTATATTATATTTTGTAGAGTCTTATAAATTTTTTCCCAAACAAAATCTGTGTTACAGAAGGGTATTTTTACTCTAACAAAATGGTCTAATTTTTGTATGGGAAAAAAAAGGATTAAAAATCAAGAACCATTTTGCACTCCATAGTACAATTTTTAACAGTAAACAATGGAAACTGCTGATACACTGGTAATACATAACAATCATTTCTAAAATAACTCCATGGATATCTTTAACTTTAAAAGCTAAATTATACTAACTGTTTCACATGTTAATACTATTACTAAACATTAAAAATCTACATTTTTTTTTCCTATAAATTCCTCAAGTTTGTCATTATCAAATTTATAGTAATACATTTCATATTCCTTTTAATTACACTTATAATATGCTACACCATCCTACATTCCACAAATAGTAAGCAAAATTCTCTAATAATCAGTTAGATTGAAATTTAAAACATATCCAAATGCAAAATGTAAGGGTTATGGTGAAGGCCCCAACTTTCCATGTTAATTTTATTTACAGATAAGTATAAGGCTTGAACTGCCCATGTTATTTTTGACTTGTAATATATGAATAAAGAGTAAGTAGCTTTAAATGATAAATGGCATTACAAGTTTAAAAACTAAGTATTAGGTCAAGTAAAAAAAGCATGTTTAGCTTGTGGAGTTTTTGAAAAAGAAAGGAGAAGGTACTTTTATTTTAAATGACTTCTTTTAAGGAAAGTTTGCACCCCTTTTTATTCATGATTGTTGCTTGTTTTCAAAGGATCCATGTCAAACAGAAGTTTTCTTTGTTTCATTTTTTCATCGAAACAATACATAATTATTTATGACAAATAAAGGAATGGGGCAAAATAAATCAACAATGTTCATCTCATTTTTTCTTCAGAAGTTTTCTTTGTTTCTTTGTATGATCAAAAAACGATAATTCTAAAATAGAAAAAAAATCGCCAAAAAACGTGGGGGAGGCAGCTGCAAAAAAAAGAAGTGAGCAGGGACACTAAACATGTATTTTTTTTCTATTTGGCCTTAAATAATTTATTCATAAACATATGGATTATACACATTACAAATAGCATGCATTATGTTGTGTGGTGGTTGTACTTCATCTACAATTTTTTTATAAATATTTCTGTCATTATAAATTGAAAAATTCAAAAAACAAAATTCTGTTATAAAATTTCAATTTTAAAAACATTTATCTTCACATGTTTTATATTGCTATTACTATTGGTAGTATTACTAATTTACTTAACTTCTAAGAATAAGATAGCTACACAGGTAAAACTAAAAGATTAGCACCGAGAGTTTGGGTCTTAGCATAACCAAGGTAAGACTTTTCAGATTAATTCAGTACTTCTGCTATACTACTACATATATTGGTATCACCACTATCAATAATAATGCTGTATAAAAATTAATTTGGAATTTGGGTAAATACAGCTACATTGCAAATTGCACTTGCAGATAGTTAAAGCCTACTTTGAACATGAAAAAGTCCAACGTCGAACCTAAAAAGTTCTGGGATTTCCTTTAAAATTTCATCGGTTATCAAATGACATCCTCGTTGAACAGGTCGAAGATTAATTTTCTTTTGAATCCAGGATGAACCCTGCTTTACTCCCGTAGCAGACGCCATGATATTACATTGCATTACCTGCCCTCTGAATCTTTGAATCAATATTTATCTTTTAATAATAAATATGAGTATAATTCATTATTGTATTTCTACTCTGAAAGGTTACTTCACTTTTTATTAATCTAATAAATATATATTTAAGAAAACTAAATTGTTGAAAGTAACTAACTGGAAGAAAATTCCCCCCCGGTATTCAGATAATTCCTTTCAGAAACATTATTTTTACATGAAATTACATCAGTACAATGACTAGCTAAATATGTCTTCTAATAAGTAGATGGTATTATATAGTCATGTTAATAAATATACTCCGTATCTAGAAAAGTGTTTGAGCCCTCTTTTAGGTCTCAAGTAAAGTGCACGGTACTTCGTATGCATGTTGTAGACGAGTGTTTGGGTGAAGGGAAGAAACAGTCTTTCCAGCAATATATTTTTGTAAACTCTATTTTTATTGCTGTAATTTGCACGTTAGCTAGAGGGCGCACGATGTTAGAATGCCTAAAAAATCCTAAGCTGACGTCAAATGTTTCTCATAAAAATGAAGATAAGTTATAAAGACGAGACGTTGTGAAGTGTGTAGCTTTGTTTAAACACAAAGAATTGAATCAATCAGTGTTTTCGAGAAGTATTTACATATATTTTTCTTATCACATTTATTGAAATACTTTAGACAAGTAGGTTGGTTTTATGTTAATACTAGCATTGTTATAGAGGTTTGAACACAATTTGTAATTTAGGTCTTCAACAATTTACGGCAGTGTACAAATATGTTTCTTGGAACTCTCGACCGGCCCGGCATGGCCAGGTGGTTAGAGCGCTCCACTCGCAATCTGCGGGTTCGAATCCTCGTCACACCAAACATGCTCGCCCTTTCAGCCGTGGGGACGTTATAATGTGATGGTCAATCCCACTATTCGTTAGTAAAAGAGTAGCCCAAGAGTTGGCGGTGGGTGGTGCTGACTAGATGCCTTCCCTCTAGTCTTACACTGCTAAATTCAAAACAAGCAAGAAGAACTCTTGACAGATGTCACGCCCACTTGTTGCACAATGAGTTGCGATTTGTCAGCCAATTATACTTAATTGAGGTAGATGGTTATAACCAATAGAAAGAGAACATTTTAAAATACGATTTCCCAATAGTGAAAAAACAAATAATTGCATACAAATTGCTGTGTTACAAATGTTCATTGTGGTTCTCCTTTCGTAAACAGTGAGTTTGTGAGTGTATATTTTTTACCATGTATATTAGTGTAAATTAGTTATCAGAATAGTTGACCACTTATGATCACAGGTAAAGGGTTGATGTGATGTAATTGGCTAGAACTGGATAGATATTGAATGTCAACTTATTCACTTGATAGAGACACTTTAATTTTTCGCTGTTTTCTTTAAATTTCATTTCTAGCAAATACCACTCAAATTTTATTAAGTATGCCCATTCTTTTATAACTTTGTTTATATCCTGTTTCATATTTTATAATGGGACTAATGGTAAGGGGAGAATAGCTCTGTTGTCAGTTCTTACTATATGAATTTATAAGTATATGTTTAGTATCTACATCGTGAACAGCACCTTATGCGACACATAACCATTCTAAATTTAGAACTGCTGACAAGAGGAAGGAGAACCTATCGATTACGTGACTACTTTTATCAAAACAGCAGGTCCAACTGTCATAGTTATAAAAACTGGAAGTACGGGACATGATCAATGGGTTATTTGGTTTGAGCCTCAGACTTTCAAGCCAACGATCTGACTGGCATACTAACCTCTAGGCCATGTCCAATCAGTCTAAGAGTCTAAATACTGCGAATAATCTCATGGATTATGAGGTATGTAACTAATTTTGATATTTTTTATTTCTTGTAAGATTTTTAGGAGCAGCTCTTACTAATTTTTTTTTTATAAAGAAGCAGATGATATATACCAATATCTCTCTCTTTCTCGTGATTTTTAATTGTGGCTACTTTTTTTTGGCCATTTATACACAACAGAGGATCAAGCAAGATAAAGTAGTATTTCCAATTAACTGTAAAAACTTGTTACCCAATCTTCAAATATTTTATTATTATTACTCTTTCCACATGCAGGCAACACCTAATCTGGAAAAGCACAACTTTTTTATTGAGGAAAATAGAATAATTAGGACTTTTCTCATATAGAAACACATACACTAATTGAAATAGCTAACGGTTGTTAAAATATTCACAGTCTTGTTTGAATATTTCATCACATTATTAAATACTTAACAACTTTTGAAAACAGCTCATTTTGTCCGGAAGTAAACATGAATGAAAAATATAAATAATAAACAAATATTTATTTCATTTTTAGTTGAAACTAACAGGGAAACTACTAACGTTGGTATATTATGTTGAGTAGAAAAACTTGTTTTTCATTGAGAGTGGGCATTGCTAACCCCTTGATCAGGATGACACGAGGGGTGTCCAAAACGTTCGTGGCCGAACCTAAAAAGAAAAAAGACACCGATTCAACTGTGATCTTTTTTTCATAATATCCTCCTGAGTCTATACACTTGCACCAGCGGTGCTTTAAGTATTATATGCCCTTCTGAAAGAACTCTTCTCCTTGGTCCTCAATGCATTATTGGATGGTATGTACGAGATCATCATCATTCAGAAATCTTCGACATTTGAGAAAGATTTTAAGGTTAGGGAAGAGAAAAAAGTCACTTGAAGCTAAATCCGGTGAGTAAGGGAGTTACTGATTAATTCGAAGCCAACATCATGGATAGCGTTCAAAGCAATACGCAATCTATTAGCTGGAGCATTATCGTGATGGAAGGACACACCTTTTTTGAGCAATCCTCTTCTCATTTCTTTGATTTCTTGACGAAACTTGTTGATTAAGGACGTAATTTAATCTAATATAATGGTCTGACCCATTTTCATATAATCAACTAGTAAAATGTCCTTGGCATCCCCCAAAAACATTGATGACATGATCTTCCCAGCAGAGAGTTGTCACTTGAACTTTTTTTGGAGTGGTGAACTTGGGTGTTTCCATTATAAACTTTGCTTTTTTTGTTTCTGGGTTGAAGTTGTGAACCCACATTTCATCCATAGTTATGAATCTATTGAAATCTTTAAAACAAGTGTTGGCTTTCAACAACTCAGATTCATTTATGCTCAGATTGACACTATTTTTGGAACCCATCTGGCATTAATCTTACTCATGCTTATACTGTCGCTTAGAATACTTCCTTTGCTAACTTCATAATAGTAATTATTCTATCATATATAACCAAATTATAAATTGTATCTACAATTTATGTTGTGGTCAATGTCGAGTTCTGACCTGACCTCAGATTATCTCCACATGATTGTCTATCGCGCTTGAACTCAGCACACCACTTTTGCACTATTTAATATGCCGAAGCACCCTCTCCTAATATTGCTTCCATGTCCTGGTGGATTTCTGGCGGTGTTATTTTCATTTTAACAAAATATTAGATCTCGACACGAAGTTCGATCTTCTTCGAAAAGTTTAACACTGCTCACTGCTTTCTTTCAAGAATCCGCAACACATAAAATAAGCAGTTAAGTTGTATGTTACGTGTTGTTTAAACATAAATATTTATCATACATTCTAATTTGTTTTTGTTTTAGATCGATCCACGAACTTTTCTGACAACCCTCGTATAGTCGTATAGTCTTTAGGGTGATCCACATGTAACTTTCCTAGAGCAAGACCATCAATATTTGAGAATTTTATTAATAACTCCTCGCAAATAATGTTATTTTTGAAGGATAACTGACTAACAAACTTAAACACGATCTCGTGATTTTAACACTTTTATATATGATAACATTTAGGTTTAGTTAATAAATAAAGCTCGTGTTCTTAAAAAAATATCCTAACACAAATCCTAAAGCAGTCTAATTCGATTCACTGAAATATTTTATGAATTACACCATAAATCATAAAACTTCCTTATAATTGTACTAATAATCCTTTTCAAACACATATATTTCGTTCGATCAAATGTATCTTATCATTCGTTTTTAGCGCGTTCAAAATTTAGATATTTCTTGCATGTTGTGCTATATAAGTGATATTGATTCTCTAGTAATTAATATGTGACTAAGTTTAATCTCAACTTCACAATGTTGATGAAGTTTGAAACTTATCTCTGACCTAGATAATACATTCACATATCAATATAGATTTTTAGTAGTGAAATGACGCCATACCTTTTATTTTACTGTGTATTAGAATCATTCCAGGACATTAGCTTTCACTTCTTCACTTTGGCTGGTGAGAAAATATCTTGATTCATTTGTTTTGAAAAAACTGTTCATCAAACTCTGTCACCTTCATTAGCCAGTAATCGATGAGTCTAGCAGTTTATTACATTTATTAGAGAAACAAATAATTTGTATTTTAGCAGTAATATACAAGAAAATTTTAAAGATGGCATCAAGTATGTATAGGAACTTTTTATCAAATTTGTATAATGTGCAAATGTCCAATGGTTAACACACCTAATTGTGTTTACAAGTTATGAAACTCACTTACATTTCTCTTTTCCATATGTCTTTGTGTTATAATTTAATTAAAGTAGCTTTTACATGTGTCCCTATTGTCGCCGGCCCGTCATGGCTAGGTGGTTAAGGCGCTCGACTCGCAATCTGAAGGTCGCAGGTTCGAATCCCCGTCCCACCAAACATACTCGCCCTTTCAGTCGTGGGGGCGATATAAATTGACGGTTAATCCCACAATTCGTTGGTAAAAGAGTAGGCCAAGAGTTAGCAGTGGGTGGTGATGACTAGTTGCCTTCCTTCTAGTCTTTCACTGCTAAATTAGGGATGGCTAGCGCAAATAAGCTTCGCGCAGCTTTGCGCGAAATTCAAAACAAACCAAACCCTATTGTCGCTTCAATGCCGGAAAATAGCGATATTGGTGGAAATGGGCAACACTGCTGCCAAAACACAATGCCTGTACAATCAAACATTCGCCATTAGCCAAGTATCCATGT